TTTATACCAATTAAGACAACTCTCCTCTTATGAAGCATGGCACAGGACCAGATAAAACTGCTTCAATGAACACATAAGCTGGTTGCTAATAAGGGAGGAATGAAGTTGCAGAAGAAAGTTCTGCTGGAGGACAAATGGGAATTGTCCTGAGGCAGGTCCAAAACCAACACTAATACTAACCAGAAATAAAGATATGAACGCTTACTCAGCTGAACCAGCCCACCTCTTTGTACTTATCCAGCCAGTACTGTTTGATCTCAGTTGCTACATTTACATTCAGTGCTTTGCAACTCATCATCACCACATCTCATTCTGAAGCAAAAGGGAAAGGATGACACAGGAAGACACTGTGATTGATGGCTTCACATGGTAATATTAAGCAAGGTATTAAGAACAGATCAGGTAGTAGGAAATAGGAGGTAGATGTGATGCCCCATTAGAAATCACAGTTACACAGCATTTACTTCAAATAAAATGAGGTTACATGCAAATGAATAAAAATATTTCATATTTTAATTCAAATCTTTAATTCATAATGATTTCACTGGTGCATAACCAATCCTGAATTTTCCAAGTAGTTACACAAATCTAACCCAAGATCCAAAACACGAGTTGGGTGTTGTTTGTTTTTAGTGCCAGTAATGCAAAATTAGGCAGCTGTAGATTGTGCATGAGTTGGAGCCTTACAGAGCTTTATCAGAGCTCTGCACCTGTATTTGGAATAGAAGAAAGACATACTCCTGTCTCTGACACAAAAAATTGGAGCTCAGAGAAGGTGGGTCATTTTTACTGAAACAGTTTTCCTGACTGCAACTAAGTAACAGAAACCAAAAGGTCTTGTTACATAATTCCAGTGGTCTATGCCAACAACAATGCCAACACAATTACTAGCACAGAACGTGCTTTATAAAATTACTAAGATTACTAAATTAATGGATTATCATTTAATGACAGTTAGCCAAGCCTTAAAGTGAAACACAAAATCTTTTTATTATCATAGTCATGTAAAATTATCCCTGCTTTGTTGATACATTTTCTGTAGGCTTTCTGCTTATTTGTCTAAAAATGCATTCCAGCCAAATCATGCTAAAGAAAAACCTAGGAAGAGTCTTATAGAAGGATTAACTTCCAAACTAGCAACACCATCATATATACACTAACAACTGTTATATCACATACTTTGATATCACAACTTCGAGGACTTCCTGAACTTATCTAAGAACTTCGTTTACAGCAGTGTAGCTGGGAAAAGAGAGCCTAAATCACACAGTAAGGACTTCTAAAGAGGGGCTTTCCTTTATTACTGCTGCTCTCTGGACTCTCACATTTACCTTATGTTGTGAAAGATCTGTGTGAAACTGAATATTGCAAACTTAAGTCACTTTCTAAACAGCAGCTCTTAAATCTTATTTTTGGGTACAGATGGTTAGTTCAGAGGCTTCTAAAATTCTCATCTTGGATGTGGCTCCAAACAATATACTAATTTATAAAAGTGGGCGCTGCCACACTCATGTTTTTGATTAAAGACACTGTGACTGGGCTGCATGCTACATGCCTGTTGTAGTTCAAACAAGATGAGCTTAAAAAATGAGTGGAAAGCTTGATGACACAGATATTTTCTAAAAAAACAGGGAAAATTGAGGTTTCCATTAACCTCCCAGACAGAGAGAGCTGCTAAAATTAACGTGTAGTCTCTTGTACACACTCTACCTCACAACACAGAACAGTGCCAGCCTGTATGTGGCAAGGGACCTACAACCTGTTCCTGATGCCAAAGAACTTACAAAATGAGTGAAAATGTATGCAATACCAACAAGATATTTGTCAGAATGGTTACAGCTGATAGAAGTGACACCATACACCATCTATCTCTACAGCCTATTAAAAAAGTCATGAAAAATTTCACACTAAATCCTGTACAACAGTTTCTGACTCAAAACACCAACAATATGTATCAAATAACTTTATTTTCTTGCTAAGCAAACAATTAAATGCCACACATTTCTAAGTTAAGAATATTAAATGAAGAAAGACTCATTAAAAATGGGGAAATACACAGTGGTTTGTTAAGGTTATCCACAAAGCATCTGGAATATAGTTATTTTAAAGATACTTTAGCTGTCATCCAATTACATCAGTATTTCAGAAACAGTATTTCTGACTGAAGTAGACAAAAGCTCAACATACCTCAAAGCCAAGTCTATCTTTCTCTTTCCAAAAGCAGAAATGTGTAACCTTCTTATCCCAAAATTCATCCGGCTTTACTACACAAACAAGTGACACCTCAGCTGGAACAACATTCTGTAAAACAAATGAAAAAATAAGTAAAACATTCAAGATTAAACATTATTTACCACAGATCTGAATTCCACTTAGATTTCATCATCTAAGATTATACAAGAAATTGAAGTCTACTTCACCTATGTCACATACTTGTTCCATCCTGTTTTGTAACATTGCACAAGATTCTATAGCAAATTGTGTCAAAACTGAAAAGAAAATAGAACCTCTTTACTCCCAGTCCTAATGACAAACCATTATTCTATGCTGTGTTAGTACAGAAAAATGAACTATTGGCTAGACTTAATTTAATTTATGGTATTTCATGAAAAAGAAGAAGAAATGTTAAAAACAATGCTTTCCACCAATGTTATCTTCTATGCAGAAGAAAATCATAATGAAAGCTAGGAAAAAATTGTATACTTGTTATCAGATCACATGTCAAGATGATATCTTATATTTCTTTAGTTCATACTACTTAGACTAAAACGAAAAAGGTTGAATATTGACATTTCAACATACTAATTCATTGAAATACTAGCAGGAAAACACTTCTCAGACTAAATCAGTCATTTCATCTATTAAGTTGATTTTACGATGTCACACTGAATAAAGATCAAGACTCTTGGTTACTCTAAACTCATCAGCTATAGCAATAAGTAAAAGTTAAATAATCAGAGTAGTGATATAAAGATGACACAACCCATGGGATTTCTCTTTAAATATCTAATTTTATTCACAAAAATTTAATTCAAAAGAAGTTAAAGAAATCAGCAAGAAAATACCCCAATTCATTCCTGCACTATTTTAACAAATATGCAAAAACTATTTACAAGTAGACAATATCATGAACACAGAAGTGTTTTTGAGAACTACATATGATGAAGCAGACAGAAATTTCATGTAATCTGCACAATTCACACAGGAAAGTAATCTTTATTGCTTCCTTCTCAAACTCAAGACACAGATGTGCAACCCATGTTTCCGCAAGCTTCACAGAGGCAGGATGGGTGCTGCCAGCAAGCCAGGGAAATAAGAGTGTGGGCAAAGAGCTGACCTTCCCCACTGAACCTCACAGCCACACAGTGGCTGATGCAAAACCCAGTTGAGATCATAATCTGAACACAAGGGATTCAAATACTGTAACTCTATTAATAGGAAAACCATCTTAGTCAAGAACAGGTGAAGGACACCTTGACACAGACTTCAAAACCCAGAAGCAACAATGACCCAGCAGGACAAAAAAAAGAGGAATTATTCATATTTGACACACTTTCTGAGGCTTCATCTAAGTCTGAGAGGAAAGCTGCTCTGATAAAGAGGAGCCATCTGTGTAGTAAGAAAGGCAGTAATCCAACTGTTTTAATGTGGTAGAAATGGCATTTTCTTTCACCACTGAGACCGGAAAATAATCTATACTGTTCTGCTTGTAAGCCCACAGTTCTAAAAAGTTAAAAAATATTTTTTTAGAATTTTTTATTGGAAATTGTCACACTTCTTCTACTTTTGGAAGTACACAGAACATGATTTGTGATTGGAACTATGATCCACAACTAAGTCAACTATATCCTACTGCAATGGAAACCAGGTAGTACAGCATATATTGCAGCAAAACCTGCTCAGCTGCAATACCTGTGTGAACTGCAGCCCTGCACACATTCCTACTGCTCATGGCTGGTGATGCCAGGAGCACATTTCTGAACTTTTTAAACTAAAATGCCATTTTAGAAAAAGGTCTACAACTGTGTGTCCTCAGCATATAATTTGTCTCTCACTTGAGTGAGCTGTAGCATCTGCTTTTCAGAATTTCTTCCTGCTGCACAGAACTCCTCACAGAACCACATTTTAAGGAAATACCTGTCTCTACAATAACACAGCCATTGGGCTCACATCCATAAAACTGATTGGTCAACTACGAATGCATAAATATTTATTTACCTGGAGCATTAACACAACTGTCTTTACCACGTTCCACTGAGATTTTCTGCCATCCACTATCACAGTGAATCCTCGAGCTTTACACTTCTCACTAAAAGAAAAAAAAAAGCACTTAGAAAAACATAAAATTCACTCTAACAAGTGTCATATCATCACAACTTCGGATTTTAAGCCTTCTGTAAAATACAACTCCATCGCTTTTTTCCTTATGGAAACACTGTCTTATAAACCTTAAGTTTACTCTATAAAATAACTTCTAATTTTAATGCTCAAGCATATTATTAGATATTACAATTTTTCAGTAGCTCTGAAGTATGTCTCATAATACAAGTACTTCTTTAAGCTGTGGTAACTCTGAAAAGGTGTCACAACCATTAACTTGACAAAATCCTCACAAAAGAGATCAATTTACAGTGTCATAAAAGGAAGACAAAGGAATGTCAATTTTCACAAGGAGCATCCAGAAGATGACTTGCAAGTGAGCCCATGGTTTAACATTAGTAACCACACTAGATTATCATGTCCCAGGTTGAAATTCTTGTGCTGGTGAAGTTATAAGCAAATAAAATCCAAAAATTACATTTACGTGCAGTAGGAAAGTATTATGTAATCCTTCCCAAATCTGCAATTACAAAACAAAGCTACTTCTGTGATCTCCTCAGCTTATAAAAAATAAGACATGCAACAGTACTCATTCTGTTTCACAAGAAGAAATTTACTGTTATTTATTTCAATTTTAAGCTGAGCTTCATCAGGTATGGGTAGAAGACATTCATTTTGGAGTTCAAAAAAACAAACAAACAAAAGAGGTGGGGGAAGGCACTTTACTAGCCTATTTAGGAAAAAATAATTCAACTTGGCTGTTTAATTAAACAGTCCATGAATGCTTTTGGTTTTAAGGAACCTCTAAGATTACACACATAATTTTTCTGGAAGCACTCTGAACATTCAGGCTTCATGAGTGCAATTTCCAATCAAAACCAACTCAAAAGGCAAAATACTATTGCTTTTAAGAATAAGGTGAAGAGTGTTATTATAGCATCTTGAGATATGACTTCCTTAGGCTCATTGGAATAGAGCAGTATCTGCATCTGCTCCTCTACTACTAATCCTATTAAACCCTCCAAACCCGACAAAATACACAACCTATCAAATTCAGAAGTGACCAACCACTTCTAAAAAGTGTAGTCAATGCAAGTGTTTGTATGTAAGTTAAAATAAAAAGTAAAAAGCTGGGTGATTTGAGCCACAACTGAGAGAATACAATAAAGGAAGCAAACTTTAGTATGGACAACATCACAATGTCACCACTTTTATTTTTCTTCAGTTCTGAAAAGACCTCTTCATAATCTGAGAATTTTAAATACCATCAAAGAAAGGCATAACAGTAGACTTCAACACCTGGAATAAGTTGTCTGAAATTTTAGAATTGCTTTATACACATACTCTAAAGAAATTCTACCCAAGACACTTTAAGCAGTTATGCCTCTTAAATTCTGAACAAAGCCAGCAATCCACAGTAGACTGCAGATCTCAAACCATTTGTAGTTACATCATATACCATGCTCTATTGAATTAAAAGTCAAACATACTACGTTACCTTACACATAGAACTTGGGGAAAAAGTAGCATTAATGTTGCTTGGACAGCTATCTGGGTTTGGGACAACATCTCTCCCCTCAGCCCTATTTTTCCCAAACACTGTTCAGCAAATCTTTCCAGAACCAAAAATAGAAGTGCTTGGGCCAAAGTTTGCATTTCCCACTGAAAAACAACTTGCAAACCAAAACTACAGTGATTTTTCCATACTGCTATAGAAGAGAGGTCATTTTTTCCACAATTGACAGAGAGCATTAAATGTGGGAACACTGACTTCCCTTTCAAACAGATTTCCCAGTTTCTACTGAGTACAAAGAGCACTTTGGCTCAGCTTTTAGCCAGTTATTGTTACACTAATATATGTAAAGACATACATCAGGATGAGACTGTGGAATAATTAACGCTTACTAGAACAAGAATGCCTGCATCTGTTCCATAAATGTGGCCAAGTCCTTAAGTCAATGACATGACTTGTGTGGATGACCATTTGGTGTTTCATCACTTTACAAAAGACAACAAGCTGTTTGAAAAACCTTAAAACTTACACAACTGAAATGTTGTGCGGTATACTCATATACCCACTGATGTTTTACTTTTAAATAATTTGAGTTTATTCTTTGCTTCTCTCTCAGCAATCAGGATTTTTTAAAGTTTTATCTACCAAAAAAATCTCAACATTGGATACATTTATAGATTACAGTATGCAAACTACAATGGGTATCTTTAGTTATGCCATTGGTGCTCTGTTTTCAGAAGAGAAATTTGAAAAGATACAAAAGCAAACATTTATCTGAGAGGCTCCTTTTCTTTATAAAGCAGTGAGACACAAGAGGGAAAAAATATTATAAAGATCAATCCCTGAATCTTAAGAAAACAGAAATTCAGGTAACTAAGTCAGGACCAAAAACTGTCACTATAAGCTGGCAGTGACACATGCAACTTGAACAACAATAATTTTACAGCAAGCTATGGATGACAGGATACTCAAATTGTCAGGCAGCATATTTAAGCAGTACCACAAGCTGCTCATTAACTTCAGTAAGATTGTACATTTTTAAAATTTAGTGCACTTTTAAACTGAAGCCCTACAAGCTACAAAGCTTAGGCATGTAGCACAGAAAGGGCAATGGGCAATGATGTCCCTGCAAGCTTAGGAGTTTGACTGGAATGGCTCATTAATTTAGCAATTTAAGTGCATTGTCATTAAAAAGAAATTATGAAAAAAGCTATCCCAAGAAAGGAGAACATAAGGACATAAAAGGACACAGACAAGCCTTAGTACACATCCCTTAGCTTATTGAGATGTGTGTTTCTAACTCAGTCAGACAGTATCACATTCTAAACAAGTATTTACATAAAATTAATTTGGTAAAGAAGAGCAAATAAAATGAAAAACAATAGATCCCTTCTGCAACTGGAAAAAATAACCCCAGCTCTGAACAGAACGCCTTTCAAATCACCTTGGTATACTTAGAAGATAGTCTAGTGTGACACTCAGCTCATCCATACTCGTCTGTTCAAGGCATAATGGAATTGTCAGAATGAGGCCACTTCTTCTGTCCTTCCCTCCTGTTTCAGAAAGAAAAAGTAATTACAAAATTAACATGATGAGATTTAAACAGAAGAAATACTTTGCAGTTTTGTGGTCTCAAACTTCATCATAAAAGCAATCTTTAAAGTTGCTGTGAAAACCTCAACTGACATTTCACCTCAGTTGTGAAGGTTCATTCACCACACGGATATTTAAAACATCACCAGGGCATCAGAGCACAGCCCACATCCACAGCTGTCACAATTTTTCACCTAATACTTTCAATATAAACAACACAAATCAAGCGTTCCAGAAGCACTACTTTTACATTTTCCGATGATGTTATTAAAAAGCATCTCCTAGACCTTCTACACTAGCAGCCTATCGGAAATTCAGTCCACTCCCAAGCTGAGCGTGTACCCAGAAGATCCAGCTGGAGCTCCTAGAAAAGGAGGAGACTTTTCTAGTCCAACTGACTACTACAGGAGGATCTTGTACCACACAGGCTGCCCATGGCACATACTCTAAACTGATTTTAAATTAAATTGACTCTAAAGGAGTCAGTTACTAAACAACCTTCTCTATATTTTAGAAAAAACTGCACAAAGACATCTATAATTCTTTAGGTGAAAATGAAGCAAAGTAAATTTCAGCAACCTGAGAAAGAACATCTTTATTTTCAATGGCTAAAGCAATTAAATGACGCTTTTGCTTCCTGAAGCTCTTCAGTAGAACTGAAGTTCCATCTAATCAGTAAGAACAACTTTTTACAGAACAGTAACAGACGTGTAGAAATAAGAAAAGGCAAAGCACAGTACTGCTTGCAGACTCATACACATATGTTGACATAATTTGGTAAGAATTCTCCCCATCCATGAGATGCATGCAAGATAATGAACAAACGCTGTTTACACAACATATGTTAGAGTCTTAATTGCAACAGGCCTTTTTTCCTTGTTTCTAAAGCTGTGCAAAATCTCAAAATTTGGAGTTTTAAAGATCCACTGATACATAGATATCTTGTACATTTTCTTAAAGAACCTACTGCTTTCACTGCTCCAATGCAGTAGTTATGTCCCCCTCCCTTCCTCTCTTTTGTGAAATAATTGTTTCTGGAAAACAGCAACACACTTTAATAACTGTATTTCTAAACTGAAGAATCAAAGAGTGGTGCTGTATGAGAAAGGACAAATGGACAGATGCTTCCAGCAGAAACAATCCAAAGCAACAGTTATTTGCAGACTGTCCACCTTTCTGTTTCTGAACGGCAGAAAGCCTGAAAATTGGAATGAGAAAGCAGAGGAAAAAAGGAAAAATGCTTGGATTTAAATAGCAATTGGTGAACTGACTAAACAAAACACAACCCAAATCCCAGAAATATCATCACTTGCCATTTCACAAAAAGACCACAATAATTATCTAAATTATTATTTCCTGACAAGTCATCTTGTGTAACAACTGACAGGTTTTTCCCCCAGCTTGTAAACACTGCTAAGGAAAGCAACTGAGAGAATCACAAAAGAAAAAAGCAAAAAAAAAGAAGAAATAGAAAAAAGAGTTTTTTTAGTTAATTTTGTACTGAAGTGGCTGTTCAAAGCTTTTTGTTGACTTAGGAGCTTTCCTTTTCTTCTGTGCTATGTGTAATGCCATATCAACATGAAAGCTAGAGCAGCCATGGATTTCCATTAGAAACTCCTTTTTTTTCCAGGAAAAGGCAGGATCAGCATTATTTGTACCAATTTAACTCAAAAATGACAACAGACTTCGGCACATAAACACTGCAGAACATATTCCTAAAATATTATTTTTCTGAGTACATGTTTTCAATCATTAATGAAACTATTACAAAACTATACGGAGTAAAATTGATGTAAAGGGCCATGATGAACTGATTTGTGTCTCTCAAGTTACTTTATTTACACTGAAGAACACTAAAAAATCCTGCTGCATCAAGCTTTACCATTCATTAAATTAAAGCACCCATTAATACTAATCAATTCCAAAATGATCAAACCTACTTAGAAATACAGACGTCCAAAATGGTTCCTAGCATTTAAAATGCCACTCAATAAATTACTTTCCACTAAGAATACCTGTATTTTGAAACGGATCAGACAGCTTCAATAGCAATTTGAAAATGCACTCTAGTTAATGAGAATATCCCCTTGCAATATAATGCTGAACAACCAACTCACTGCACATCTGCTGTTACAGTGGAAAAACTGTACCAAGCTTTAATGTGAGATGAGTTTCAGGGGTTTGATTGTTCATTTTTAAAAAGGAACTGTTAGATTTGCAATTGATGGGGACAATGGGCAAATTCAAAGCAAAATAAATTCTATTAACAAAAAGAGCAGTTTTCACTTCTCAGGTGACTGGAGCAGCCTAAACTAGACTGGCTAAAAACAAACTGAAATGAACTACGCCAGAAGAGTATTTATGGCAACACTTGTCAATTTTTGAAGATGACAAATGGTCTGTAAGTTACCTGCCTACACTAGATCAGACAATCAAACACCACGAACTAACACAGCTATCTATAACAGCAGTGAAACCGGTAAGAGAATGTCATTCACCGTTTGAAGCATTCCCTTTAATTTTTTTTGGTTTTCTGGCAGAGGGAGGAGAAAAAGTTACCTTCACTATAAGATTCAGGAAGTTTTAAGAAATACAATGATAATTACAGCCTTCCCTTAATTAACTAATTGGCAATAATCAAACAGTTGCAATGCATGGCTAATTCTGCTTCCACATGTTTCTATGTTGGAGAAAAGGCAGGTGAAAAGGAAGAAAAGATTTTCTATAGAAAATTCTGAAAATATTCACTCTATTTCTAAAAACAAAAAAGTAAAATCAGCAAGGATTATTTTTGGATGTCTATTAAATCATCATTCTCTTACATATAGACTGAAACTTCTCAACAACTTTGCAGGTTGAGCCACAAGCTGCAGCCAAGCAAGTCCTAAACACCAACAACTTGGCTACTAGATAAAAAGTTCCAGATGTTTGTTTGGAATATGACAAAGCACTAACCAACAATGTATTTTTGCTAAATACATCTAGCAAACACAAACAACCAACTTAAACATGCCATCCAAATTATGCAGGGTGGAATCAGTTGAGGAAAACTGAAATTGTACCTGAAAGAAAAGCCAATTTTTTCTTCAGAATGGGTAATATTACCGACGCTTCCATTCTACTTCAGATACTTTTCGCAGCTCTGAAACACAAGAAGTTGAAGTTGTCAAGCATGGGAAATCAATTACAATGTTTCACTTTTGTATTCTTCTGAAGAAAGAACAGAACACTGTAACCAAAATCTAAAATACTGTCAAAACTAAAGAAAAAACATTATTGTAGGCATTTATCCATACAAATATTTAATTAAAGATTTATTTTCCCTCATTGGGGGGAAACAGTCCAACCACAAAAACACAGCAGAATCTCAACCAAGGACAAGATAATTTATTTAAAATCCCATTTCCCAACCCTAATAAACTACAATTAATTTACAGGTAGGTCATCTGCTTGCTCATTCAGATGTAAAGTAAGTGCAAATAAGACTCTACTTTTGCAGAGTCTGTCTGGTATTTCAAAGAATATAGTAATTATCTAAATATGTTATGGTACATTTCTGTCAGGACACTGCCATTACCCTGCCATTAGCAGGGCTTCAGTTGAACAAAAACATCCAACAGTGTGAATAACTATGCAATAACAACTACCTATAATCTATACCTGGAAACGTTCCTGCTTCTTTTACCTCCTCCTTACCCTCATGCAATTTTTATTGCACTGTGAACTGCAATTCACCATGATGAAGCTTTTTTGCTTCACTGACAAATCCACAGGATGCCTCAAGTGCAACCTCCTCTTCCAGCCTAAACAAAGTAAGAACTGGCATCTGCTTGTAACTTGCTGAGGTCCTACTTCCACAGATCAATCCATACAATTAAAAAACTTAATTCTGCTGGGAAATAGACAGTTCAAGATGTGTGTCAATATCCAGCCAAAATAAAAACAGATCAAAATTGATTTTTTTTTTTTTTGTTTCTCATTCCAGGCCCAGGGCTTTGGTCTGCAAACTGGAATTCTCCCTCTAATACTTCAGAATGCACACAAAGATAACTTCTTTTCCTGGCATGGGGGAAGTTAACTGAATAAAAACTATAAATGATTTAGGAAAAGAAAGAAAACCCAAAAAATCCAGAGAAATCCAAATAGCCTGAGGTAAAATAGTTATTCCTTTTAATGTTAAAGCAATGAGTTTCATAACAAATAAAAAAAAAGAACTATCATATTATTATAAAAAAAAAAATCAACAGCTTTTTACTGCCTCATCCAATGTGCAATGTGTCACAATGTTCATTCCCATCTCTGATCCCAAAATCTCCATACTGAAGTGCAATTTTTGCCAATTATATAAAATTCACACTTCATGTATTACAGAAGGAAACAAACAACTTTCTGTTCTCTCAGGAAACTGAGTCCCATGACAGTCTGCACTTTGAACAACTACTCAAAAAAGCATCCTATTAATGCTTCCTGTATGCTTTAGACAAAGATTTGCATTTATTTGTTGCAAAACCACAAAATTCCAGAATTACTCAGGCAGTCATTTTTGTGTCTCAAACCTCTCTGTGTAAACTTTTTAACTTTCTTTTTATTTTCTTTTTTCAAGATATGGAACACATACCTGAATGATTTTTTCCCCCCTCCTTCCTAAGTTACATTTCCAAATTATTACAGATGCCTCTTTATTATAATGAATGAATGAAGTTCAAACCTACACACACTTCATTATCTTTGTACTTTCACATAGGAACAAAAGCCTGCATCAACTTACTGACTCTAGGGAACATGTCTCCCTGCTGCTCTGAAAAGACCTATTTATTTAATATGAAAGCATCTCTTGGCTTTCTGCCACAGTAGTGGCACTGTCCATGGATCAAAATAGTTCTTTTATTCAGTATTTCCTGGAACCAAAGGAAGCATTCTGTTCAGAGTGGAGGGAGGTGAGTCAGACCAGTTAGAAGAACTGCTGATAATTCCAAACACCTGGCCTTTGTTCTATAAACTCCTTAAGTTTACAATTATCTCTCTTCTGTGAGAGCTTAGATAGGTTTCATCTAGAAGAAAACTCTCACCAGAGCAGGTTACCAGAATGTACCAGAAAAAAAAAAATCTTCACATTTAAAAAACAGGCTTAGCATCCTTCTCTATTTTTGATGTCCAAAGAGTCTCAGGATGAATTAAAGGAAATGTCTCTTTTTAATACTGGAAAGTGAAACCATTTCAAGAAAGCTGGCATCTACTTTCCAATGGCAGCTACTAAAGGTGTTTTGAAAAGGTACACTGTTTTGTACCTTTGCAATGTATTCAGACCTACAAAATACATGTAAAGTCTTCAATTTGTTGGAGGAAGACAAAATGACAGGCTCTTAAAATTTTCCATCAAGTTCTCAATTTAGCATGAGGAAAGAGTAATTTGTTGCTCAATATTCTACCACTATTTAGCTGAAAGAAACATTTTCAGTGTATATTCATCAATTAAAAAAAACCATTTGGTTTCATTAAATACAGAAAAGAAGAAAAACAAAAGCATTGAAGAGAACAGATTTCATGTGAGGAAAGTGAAATACTTCAGGAAGCTGCATTTTATCACTTCCAAATCAAAAGACATAATTTTTATATGCTGAAATGTTACAGATATGAAATAAAGAGGTTAAATTTGTTTGCTGAATTTCAGGAACAATCTAGAGTGCTGTATGCCCACCTAGAATCTACTTCACCATAATACCATAAAATACCATACACCAAACTGTAGAACTTGTAGTTCTTTTATTTAACAAGTTTCCTGGACACATTCAATGCACTTTGAAGAACCTCTTTGAACTTGTTTAGAATGACACAGGCTTTCAGGTTATTAAATCAATATAGAAATGTCAGTCTCCAAAATTGTATTAATTCCTTTTAAGATTTCCACAAGAAGGTGGCAACATTAAATTCGCATAATATTTGTATTTAAAACCTAAATATTTGAAAGGCATTCCAGTGGAAATAGAAAACTCTTCCAATCCCCTTGACAAGCAGAAACAAATACTATTTGTGGAGAAAGTTCCCTTGCATACAAACATGAGATATGTATGCATTAAGGAGAGAATGGGAAATATTAGACAAATAGCTCAAAAAAATTACAGAACAGGTAAAAATGCAAACAATATTTCAGGTTCCATTCCAGTGTGAAATCAAATCACAACTTAATAGGCTGCATCCTCTATTATTTCTAGACTGGAATAACTGTGAATTATAATGTTTTACTCCACACATCTAAAATTCCTCAAGTTCTTCCAAACACTAAAAACAAACAGAAAGAAACAACTCCTCCCCCAACAAACAAAAACACACCAAAAACCAAAGAAAAATACCCAGCCAAAAATCAAAATACTCATACACAATAAGTACTATGTGTAATTCATCAAAGAGCCAAATTTCTGATGAATGGAAAGTTTCACCTGCATTTTGTGCTACCCATCTTCATTGTCATTGAATTAAAAAAATAAATAAGAATCAATGTCCAGACACTGTTTAAAGCCATTGTAAAAGTCTATTAAAGACAGGGGAAGGAGGACAGGTTGACTGGACAACTAGAGTAAGATGACAGAGAGAAGTTCTCCTGTGAGTAACAGGTGTTTTCTTTCTAAGCAACCCAGCAGAAACAAAAAATTACCAATCAAACCAAATTCAGGCTTAATGAGAATTAATATTAACACGTTTATTCATGTTTGTTAGACTTGAAACCTGTAATACTCTCAGTACATGGTGCAAGGTCTTGAAATGGGTTAGTTTGCACATGAGCATCTGTTGCAAGACTCAAAAAAGGAGCTCGCTCTTCATTCCTTTAGCTTGTATCTCACAAGAGCATGTAGCTGGTCTGTTATGCACAGGGCCACAAGTAAGAAAAAAAAAATCTGGTTTGTATTCCCTGTTCTGCTATGAAATATACATATGGCTTTCAGCAAGTCATTTATCCTTTTTAGTCTCCATTCAGTTTCTCCATTTAATTCTCTTTTTACAAGAGTATTGTGATGTTTAATTCATTAATGTTTTTGAAGACTTGAGAGATTAGAAGGATCTCCACAAATCTGCCTATAAATAACCAAGGAGCAGATGGGCAGCTATGTTCAAAACTGTAGCAGCTTGCAAGTCCAGACAGAAACAATAGCACAAATAACAATAGACATTCTGAAGTACCAAAGGAAAATAAGTCTCAAAACATACAGAATGAAAACACTTTTTCTTTTAGATCAACTTTTGAATTGCAGACCTTCAAAATTAACATCTTCATTCTCTGAAGCCAGCATGCAGGCTTTTTCAGATGCTAACTTCAACCCACAAAGCATTACCCTCTTTTTCCCTGAATCAGCTTAAAACCAGTTCATCTGTTCCACACAGAAATAAAATCCACATGTAAAAGACAGGGAGAAAGCTGAGTATCACAATTATCTATGTAGATTATTATTTCACCTTCCTTTAAAGCTACATTAAAGGATGTCATCTCTCCCACAGCAAAGCTGTACAAAGAGAGAATGCAAACGAAGGTGTCTCCAGGGCTGATGCCCCAGGGTAATTTGAGAAGCACAAACCTGCCCCCAAAACAGAAAAAGGCTGTAAATATTTATTAGTTAATGCTGTCTTCAATTAAACACCACCTGGAACTTGGCTACTCAGTTGGACAGTTTTGAAATAACAATAAAACCTGGCAGATGAACATCAGCTTACATACACAAATTCAGTGTTTGGTTTTTACTCTTCAAGGTAGTATGAGCAGCACTAATAAATATTTACCATTAGAGCCCTCAGGAGAAAAGGTAACTCCAGATATTTAAGGAATATCAAATTTTTTGCTTTTTCAACCACTTTTGTATTTTTAATTTTTTTATTATCTGTAAAAACTATCCAGAAAAAACCCACAGAAGTTTTATGTCTGAAGTTGTACATAACAAAAATATTTCTGATCTTCTTTAACCTGCTAATTCACACTAAAGAAGTCAGAAAATAAAAAACACTGAATAATTTCATGAGTAAGTAAACTGCTTTAATTCTTAAGCAAGATGCAACCATTCAATGCCACTTTCATAACATATGCACTGTTAGTAACCTAACTCAGCAACTTGCTATGGCAGTTCAAAGGACACACTGAAAATGTGCTCTGACTCTGGTTAAAGCTGAGGTTAACAACATGCTAGGCCATGACCCAAAAGCACATGGTCACAGCCACAACAAATTTAAACTTGGAAAAATTCCAATTCCACTCCATTTTCACCTGAAGGTTCAAATCTTGTCTTCTAACTAAAGTTAATAATAGAATTCAGAACTGTCTGTTAACTACTTCCTCTATTTTAACCCATCTTCCATATTCATTTCCCACCCTTTTGCAATCCCTCAACATTCTGTGAAAAGTGAAATAACAACGTGAGCAACAAAAGGAAGTGATGAGCAATAGAATATAGAATAGCAAAGCAGCAAATGGAGAACAGGTGAGTAAGAGGTTATGCCATCTGAGAAGAAAAAGACATTGTGTGTCCGAGTTCTAACTTTGATCACAGTCAACTATTCATTTCACACAAAGGCAGAGCTTTTCCTCAGACTTCAAGCAAGTGCCAGAGGAAAAAAAAAAAAGGAAGAGTAGCAAGCACAGAAACAATGTAACTCAGGATGAATAACAACACCTGCATGTACAGCTGGGAGCCACCATACCAACACCTCAGTCTTTCCATACACCAAGGCCAGCCATGAGCACTCTCTCAAAGGGCAGCACTCCTTGGGTCACTGGCCATGTTCAGAGAGCAAACCTCCCAACCCAAAGGAACACACACGGACATGATAATGATGCTGCAACACCTAACACCAAAGATAACAGCTCGCTAGAGTTTTCTATCCTTTCCAGCCTCAGTCCAAGCCAAACACATGGTCTGTGCCAAGCTACAGCCGTTTTCAGGCATCTTTAATCTAGAATAGCATCCAAAACCTGTGGCTTATTTTCTCTGCATCTCCATATTCCCTTTGGTGCAACATTCCTGCCACATTTTGCCATTCTCTCGCAAAGTGAGAGACAACATCTACCTTCCTGCAGAGCCCCACAGCTTGCCCACCAGCATCAGAAGACCAATCTACCTCACACCCTCCTTCCCTCACAACAGGCAGCCAAACCAGCAGAAGCCACAGTCACCTGGTACAACACCATCTCACTGAACACTATCAAGTGACCACAGAATACATAAAATGATGCAAGTTGAGAGGCTGCATCTTCCACCATTTTCTACATAGCAATATGTCAATTGAAATGCCATGTTCAAAGCATAGACAAGGCATTTTCTCTTCCTCATCACACCGCACTAAAACCCATTAAAAGAAAATTCTCATTTTTAGGTCTTGAAATTTTCCTTAGTCAGAAGTCACATGGAAATAGTACAGAATCACATGGATTGCATTATCACAGAAATACTTTGTGAGGTTAGGGGAAGAAAAATAACCTACTGATAGTAAAATAAAACTACAGAATCCTCTCCTAGCTCCCTCTTAAAGAAAAAAAGGAAACACAAAAACCTCCAACAAACAAAACAAAATCAACATACAAGTCACAAGTGCTTGGAAAAATAAATACCTTATCACCAGCTCTTTAAGGAACTGTCCAAAACCAGTTTGTGATGAAAGATGAGAAAGCTCCTATGACTACAGTACTTCATACAATGAACTAGGACAGTGGGTAGAATGAGATTGGACAACCCAGGCCATGAGCAGCCAAGTCAAAAGACAAAGTCAAAAGACAAACAGCTGTACTGATGAGTGCAACTGCTGGCAGTCTGGAACAAATGAAAAACACTTTCCTCTGGGGTGCAAGATTAGAACTTGTTGTTCTTTTTGCAACACTTATGTAAGAAAACAATCTACCACTTCATAACAATACACAAATTTGGCATTGGTTACAACTGCATGTGGCTCAGGGCCTCAGGATTCAATTCCCAGCTCAGTATAGTGACACTGCCCTGAGTGGAAGCAAAAAGAAATGCTCCCCTACACTGAAAGCAGTCTCGTGCAGCAGACACAAAAGCAGTCATCCTTTTGGAGTGGAGAAAATTAAGCAAAACAAGATGACAATGAAGAAGGGACTAACAAAATGTCAGTTTACAAATCCCTAAAACTCTGAGTTTGCTACCTGACCAAAAAGTCACCAGCTGAAGAGTATGATTTTGTGTGGACCTTGAAACACCCTGAACAATTTCCTCTGCCTTAAAAAAAACAAAAATTACTGTTGTGCACAGCACACAAAGTATCCATGGTAAGAGTAATAAAAAAAATCCCTTCAATAAGAAATAAATAACTTGAAAATTTTGCTAATGTTAACCAAACAAGAGATTGAAATATTCCAGATCTGGTAAATAAATACCTTGTTCACATATTTCAGAAATCCATGGATTCACTGCTCTATAAAGCAAAAATAATTATCTAAGATGTCCTTAAATTAGTGGGTGCAGGAGAAATAAATCTTAACTTTCATGGATGTCTTCAATTTTTGTACTCAGATTAAAAATTCTGAACATTTCTACTGCAAATCACAAATTAAATCCACCACAGCAACCACCTGCAGCAATCACAGCACCTCTCCCTCTCTCCTACCCCCTCAAAAATACATATACAAGTAGCTTTCCACTACCAATAAATCAATAAATAAACTGTCACATGCTTCAGAGAACATAAAATCAATCTCTCTAAGCTTCTCCCTGGAACATCCTGCATAGGAGCAACACTCGTACATTTTCCAATTATACTATTTTCTAGGGTCAAGTGAGAATGCAAAATGAAGAATTAGCAAACAGAACACCAGCAGAGAGAAAACAGACAACCTCCACCGAGGTCTCAAGTTCAGCCACAGATATCATTTAGTGACCAAAACATCAAGCTAACATCAAACCCATTTATCTTATTCTTCAAATAAAAATTCATATTTTTTTTTTAGCCTTCCTTGGTCTGGTCAACACTTATCCTTCATGATACCTCACTAAAGAACACCTCTCAAATACAACTCTGCCAATATCCTAGTAATTTATCTTGGTTCTGGATTCTCACATATCTACTACCTCTATCTCCCTTGAATTATTGTTTCTGCAAAACCCTAAGTCATACCTTCATCTCCTCTTAACTATTGTAATTTCCTTCTTAATGGGTTCTTTATGTCCCAGCATTCCAACTTCAGCTTGTCCAAAATGCAGCAGTTCATCTTCTCACCTGGAAACAGGAAAATAACACTCCAGATTGATTTTCACTTGCTTCCTTGTTGAGTTTAGCATCTGCTGGAAGGTTATCCTCACTTCAAAAATCTCTCACTCTTATTTAGTCTGAAGAGTCAAGAGCTTTGCCAACACATTTTTCTACTTGCACAATCAAGGTTCCCAAGTCTCTCATTTATCTTCCAGCACAAGCTTATCAACACCATCAGACCAGCAATAATTACCTCGATGCTATTAAAACTTCTTTCCTTAGTCTCACTCACTACCACAGAACCCTCTTAAAAATAGAATTCACTTATCTCCAGTCTTATGCTTAAACACCCTCTAACACATCTACAGCCAATCCTCTCCCTGTGAGACACTACCACTACATGAGACACATTAACACAAGCTGTACTGTGAGATGCACAGCCAAACAATGTAATTTAATTTTAATATCAGTTTTGTTTATCTTATAGGGCCTTTTAAAGGCTTTTTAGAAGTCACAAAATGAAAAAGCAAAGCAGGTAAGTTAGAGAAGGCATGAGTTAAAGCCCAAGTAAGTTTCTACAAAACCAAATGCAAAGATGTTGTTCCAGGCAGTATATTCATCAGTATCAAAGCTTCGTAAGAACCAAATATAATGCATGAAAATTATAAAGATTTATTTTTGGAAGAGACCTATCTTACTTACCATTGGTACCGGAATGCAAAACTGTCTGCTAGGGTTACAAGTTTGAGCTCCAGATCCCGGGTTCTGTAAATTTAAATGAAAAAGTATTTGACCATATTTTTTGATTTTGCTACTCAATCTAAAAATTTATTTCCTTGGAGGTTGAAAACAAGAGTTTCTTACAGAACTACATGATAGGGGAGTCAACATTTCCACTGTACATCCACAAATACTAGTAAGCTAGGCATTTGAGTTTAGTGGGACAGCAGGAATCCTGCACTTTCTACCAAAACATATGGTAGACATCAACATTGTTTATAGTTAGCAGGCAATGCTCCTGAGGCAGCACCGGAAGCAGCGGGAAAGTAACAAGAACCAGAATCCCTGTAGTATGCTTTCAATCAGAGGTAACCTACACGGAGTTTTAGGCTGAACTGAAAATACAACAGTGTTAGTAGAATTTTTGTGCAGAGGAAGAAGGTATTCCACAAACGTACTCACTGCTATAAAATTAAAAAAGGCAAAGTATAACTAGAATAAGAAGATATAAATAGTCCCTCTTTGTATTAGAGGATAAGGAGTTAGCATATAAGCATCAAATGTTAAACCTCAGCAAACGTTTTAAGACTTGCATGAAACCTTGTAACTTGATCAAATTCCACCCATTAAACAAAACCTAACAACAAAACCCCAAAAGTTCACACTAGTGTATACGGTGTAAAAGGCAAAGTCAAGGTGACAAACACACTTCACTGGTTTGACAGTAATTCTGATAGATCGGTCAATACAGTAATCTAACTCACAGTAAATTTTAAATTAAAACGGCCCCTCTGTTGATGGAAGTTTTCCAGTCAGCCTCAAAAAGATGGGAGAGAAGGCAGGAGGACATTCTTATAGATTGGGAACAAAAATACAAATAGCAAGTACTTGAGATAGCTGAAGTACAGACACACTGGAAACCATAAAACATGATTGCCAGGGTAGGCTCTGCCTCCTTTATCAGAAGCTGCCTATTGAAGGTGTTCTGTGTTTCCCCACCCATCATCACTGGGGAATAAATGTGTTCCTCTTCATAATCTGTTCCTAGAGATTCTTGATGGTTAGGTAGCACTATATTAAAGATCTTAGAGAAATTCCTCTGGTTTCCCTTCCTACTACCACTCTCAAGCAATAGCCAACTGAAACTGAGCTAAACTACACTTCTTTATTTTGTTGACAGAAAATGACAAAACTATGTTAATTTCCTGTTTACATAAGCTTTACTGAGAAATCCGAATCCATATCCAATTTACAATTACAGCCTACAACTCGATATCACACCAGTTTTTCTTACACTAAATATTCTTATGAGAAATTTAAAAATACATCTATTATCTTCTCTTAAATTGTATTTCTAGGAAAACTGATGTTACTGATCAACAAAATATCATCTATTAGCATACTGCTCCAGGAAAAACAGTCAGCTGAGATGATTTTACAGGACTCTTCAAGCAGCAATCTATGACATAAAGAATTGTGCAAAATCTTAAAATCCACCCCTAAAACCACATTGCAATTACTCCTAGTTTTGGCGGAAGATTTTCACTGAATTACAGGATTATTAAGATTGGAAGGGACTTCTGGAGATCATCTGTTTGAATGGAGCCCCATTTGGACACATTCCTGTGTAACTGCTGGTGGTGACCCAGCCTAGGCAGGGGTCTTGGACGTCTCCAGAGAGGAAGACTCCACAATCCCCCTGAGCAGCCTTTTCCAGCCCTCTGCCTCATTGCTTTTCTCCTGAAAGAGGCAAGGCATGACCAGCACCTCACCAAGCCGTAGGTCTCTCTGAGCAAGCTCCAGTTCTATTCTATAGTCCACTTTCCCCCTTTTCTCTCTTAAGTTTCTACTTGGAATAGACAATGGCATTAGGACTATAAATTCTCTCATTCAGATAAAGGAGAACTCTTATTAGCACAGTAATTAATAACTATCAGTAATCCCATAATGGAGTAAAGTAACAGTATTCATTATTTACTATACACTGAATCTTAGCAGGCAGTGTCACGGAAGGGAGAAAAAAGGGAAAAACCGAGTACTTCCTCATCACAGTGAATTTTAATGCATGAACAATTGTGAGGACACTGCAGACACTGCAATACTAAAAATGGAGAGGACCAATATTTCCTTTGGGATGCAGAATTATGAGAGAGCAACAGACAAAAGCATCTATTAATACATGTCCACATAAACCTCATCAATTTTGCCCATTAAAAAACTTACAAAAACTAAAAAATAAAGAACCACTCTCCTCTAATTGTTTCCAGTCTTGCTTCCATACAGTCGTTTAAATTCTTTAACAAAACAGTGCTTTATAGCATCGCCTTTGTACAATTGCCTGGCTAGCAAGCTCTGCTAGGGGGTAGCAAGGGACACTACAATAATGGGAAAGAAGGCAAAACTGCTGGACAATAGACCTGTCAAAAATCAGAGAAACGATAACCACAGCTATGAGCAACCACGTCTCCAGCAGTGAATCAGTTTCCCGACTAGGCAGCGCTTCCAGAAACCCAGGAGCGCCCGACGCGGCGGCAGTGACACGGCCGTGACTGGTCCCCAGCCCGCCGGCCACGCACCGCCAAAATCCCCGCCGGGAGCCGAGGGTTCCGCCAGCCGGGCAGCCGAGTGCCGCCCCCGGCTGCCTCCAGGGCTGGCTCCCCTTCCCGAACCCCTGTCCTTCCTTGCCGGGCCTGCCGCGACACCCACGGCGGGGCCGGCCGGGAGGGGCGGCCGCCCTCCCGCTCCCGCACAAAGGCAAAAGCTCCGCCGCCGGCGGCCACTCGGGAGCCCCCTGGGCAGCCGAGCCCCCCCGCCGCCACCGCGGCCGCGTCTGTAGCGGCGGCACGAACAATGCCCGAACCTGTTGCGCGGGTTCCCCTGGGCCGCACCGACCCGCCGTGCCAGGGCTCCCACCGCAGGGCAGCGAGCGGGGCGAGAGGCGAGTCCACAGCCGGGGCTGCTCCGCAGCACGGCCCCGCCGCCGCCGCCGCCCCGGGAGAGCCGGAGCCGCCGCACGGCAGCGCGGAGCGCCCCGGGCGCCAGCGCCGCCGCCGCCCGGGAACAAAGCGCGGCCAGGCCGCAGGGCCTGCGCCGCCCTCCGCGGGGCTGGGGCCAGGGCAGAGGCGCTCCGGAGCGCGGGTACTTACCCGATGCGGCGCTGCGGGTGCCCGGGCTGGGAGGACGCGGGGCGGAGCCTGGACCCGCCCGCTCCGGCCGGGCTGCGGTGGCTAACCCCGGCCGCCTCGCACCGCCTCGCTCACCCGGCGGCTGCCCCTGGGGACGGGGGCGGCTCCGACCCCTCCTCCGTCGGCACGGAGACGGCGAGCGCCGGGCGCTGGCGGGCCCGCCCCCGCTGCGCTGCCCTGGCTGAGCGCCGCCCCCGCCCGCGGGCGCGGAGCCGCGGTACCGCCCGCCCGCCCCGCGCGGAGCCAGCGCGGCCCCGCTCCCCCCGGCCCGGCCCGCCCGCGGGAGACAGCGCGGCCCCGCTCTGCCGAAGCCTGCGGCCCCGCCCGGGCCGGGCCCCGCGGCTACCGAGGGTCGTGATAAATACCCAGCGTGGGACATGCCGGAGTCCGTCCCACTGCGGAGTTTGTGGCACTGGCGGCCGCGTTACGGTAACAGTGCTGTCGCTCTGCTCTTTGGAGGGACCCGCTGTGCCGGCTGGATGCGAGCCCAGCGGCTCCCAGGTGAACGCTGGCAGTCTCAGGCAGGTATCGGTTGCCCCTGGGGCCGTTCGCCACCAGTGTTTCAGCATTCACAGTATCGCAGAATATTCTGAGTTGGACGGAACCCACGAGGATCATCTAGTCCAATTCAGCACTGACGTGTATTTTGTTTCCCCTCCGATGGCAGATAAATAACCCAGTGTCTGTCTTAGCTCCTGGACAAACACCCTAAAACTCTGCCATGCCAAGATTAAAATAATAGAAGCAAAAATGCAGAAAGAAATGCTGTGAAGAAAGCTGGCTGGGACACTAGCCATGCATTCAGCCTAACCACTCCAGGACAGGTTTGCAGTCTTAAATCTCCTAGCTGAATACATCATTAGGTGACCTAATGGCTCTTTAAAAATTGGCTTCTGCAAATTCTATCTTAATCATAATTTTGCTCTTGGTTTTTCCAGAGCAGTTGAATATAATTTACTGAATCTCATTCTGAGTAGGAAAACTGTCTCACAGAGGCTGCAATTGCTTCATTTCTTCCCTCAAAACAAGAGTTTGCAGAAACACCACTGTTCACCACCTTTCCTGTTTGCTGTCCAGTCAACATCTGCTGCAGCCATCGCCCTCACCGTCACCATCGGGCACGCCTGTGGTACTGACCTCATCCCTGGCCTCTGCTCACTCAGAAAGCTGTCCTCTCAGCAACACCACCCACTGGGCATGCAAGACATAAAGATACTGTCATTCCGATTTTCAGATGAGGCATATCAGCCAAGGCCTGCCAGCCTCAAGAGCATACCTTTTGAGCCTTTCTCTCCTGGAAAAATACTTAAAACAGCAGCAGCAAACAAAGAGGAAGGGCAAAATTGCTTCCTTCACAACTTGTCGAGATAAACAGAGATAAATGATCAGCTTCCCACTAAAAGTAATTGCTGTAGAGAACCAAAATAATTGGGTTTTACTTTATTAAAAGAGGAAAACTCTAACAATATTTGAAGTGTGTTCATTAATGATTTAAGAATGTGCCAGATAGAACTTTTAGATCACTGTTCTACATTTATGCTTATTGCATACTTGTGGGCGAAAGGTAAGATAATAGAAGCTTTCACTATTCATGAATGCTTACTTGAGATCCCTCAAGCTGTATCTTTGTAAGCTCTGATTGTAGGACAAATAGTATTTTAGAGCACTAGTTAAGTGATCTGATGCCCAACACATGTGAAAACTCAGTAGGACTCACTGACACATATATCTTTAAAAGGAGCAAGACAAAAATAAACAAAGGAAAAACTATAGCAGATTGTCATACATGAATATCTCTTTCTTATTTCATATATCCAAGACCCTTCATAATGCAAATACTACATTCTGTGTATCACAGCTATCACATAGCCTACGCAATAAAGGAAAGTGCAGCTATTTAAATAGGGTGTTTTTGCTTTGGCTTGTGGATCTTAAATTTTCAGTACACTTGAGCTCATTAATCCCAATAAATTTTCTTATGGTTACTTTTGGGAGAGGAGGAGAGTGGGAGAGAGAGATGAGGGAGAGGGAAAAGAATTCAGGCCAAAATTTCTATTGAGATAGAAATGTCTCCATTTTTCTGGTCTCAACTGGAGTCTGTTCTCAAGGACAAAACAAGGCTTCTCCTGCAGAGGAGGAACAAAATACTTGCAGTGCCTTCCATAAGAGAGAGTTACCCAAAAGTCACTCTCATTTGTATTCTGGTTAGAGATATGCTAGTTTAAATATAAAGAAGTGCAACAGGTTTTCTGACTTTTGTTTTCCATGCATACTCTGCTGAATGAATTGCCAGGATAGAATCTGACATAATTATTTTTTTTAAGGTCATACTTTAGTTCAGAGTTGTAGTTAATTGCCTTTTCCACGCAAACTGCCTGTAGGAAGAAATCAGAGTATCAAAGATCCGTTTGATTAAAATGACCCTTAATATATGGTGTTATTCTCCAGCAGCTGTGCCAGATTAACTCAAATACAAATGAAAGCAAATAGGCTGAAAACATCCTGAGCTTTGGGCACTGTGCTGCGTGCCAGCACAACAGAGCCTTTGTTACGAGGCAGAGCAGTGCTCTCACAACAGTTACTGCTTCCAGCCTCAGTCGTTGCACTTCTAGAAAAATCAGCCTTCAAAGAAAAACAAAGCCCCCATACACTTCTACTGAATACCAGCTCACGGTGGCACTGGTGACACTGATCTCAGGTGTCACCAGATGTGACACTGGCCATCCTGTGCAGCACCCCACAGGCCTGTAATACACCTTCCCTCTTGCTCCACTTGCCACTGGGCACAGGGAGGTGCTGCCAGGCACAGCCTTGCACCTGGTGGGCTGGAAATCCTCCACGTGGAGTGATTTACCTTGCTGCCTTGCTTGTAATTTGCTTCCATGTCTCCCTGCAACTAATAGGCAATTGATTTTACTTGTAGCACAAAAATGAATGTGAGCAGTTAAGTTAATGTAAGCCAGCAGTATCCAGTGTATTGGCTAGAGATGTAACTTCGAGAACAGTCCAATTCATAAAAGGTATATACAGAAAATAAGGAAATAACTATATGCAATGGGATAAGTATAGGCTGGCAGCAATGAATTGTAAATAAAAGCTGTAGAATGTTTTCTATATGGAGCTTTTTGATCATGGCAAGATGGTATCATCATATTCATGGGTAAGCAGAGGCATCTACTACTTTAAAACCTTATGTATTTGTCATACAGCCAGATTCATGTTGGAAAACAGTGAAAAAAGCCCTTTCTGTGTTGATAAACAGTATCAGGAGGTTTGGAAACTGAAAGTGACAAAAAAATACAAGCATTCAGTGCACATTCAAAACATCACAGAAACAAACAAAAGATCTGCGGAATTCAGTACATGAGCTGGCTTCTGAAGGTAAGCACATTCACCTATTAGCATCGAGATTTGAAATGCCCCTTTAAACACAAATACTAGGTTTTAATCCTGAACTGAGGAGTGATTGTTTCTTCTGAAACAATTACAACAAAGCCTTAAATTGTGCTCTTAATAGAATTTGAAACTTGAATCCCGAATAGCCCAAACCCAAGAGATTTTGTTTACTGACTAGCACAGGCTGAAAGCCTGGCACTCTATGTAGGCACCACCTAGCAGGTTTGGAAGGATCTATGTTTTATTGTACTCATACTTATCAGAGGGTGTGCAAAACAGTATTTTAAAAGTCTGGCCATAATTTTGCAGTTATTCAGTTAAATTATATATAAAAACAAGATAAACTCTTCATTTTATAGAGGTATGAGTGACATGTCTGTAATGAGATACAGCAGTATGAAACTTTGCAAGGTTCTGAAGAATCTGGAGTGTTTTGTGTTTTTATTCCTGTGCTTCTTAATGCTAAGGTAGAAACAATAAATTATCTCCTTATCATGTCCTTCCAAGTACTAGTTGGATTGTGCTTCCTGCAGCAAACTTGGCAGTGACTTTTATTACTTTCTTTAATGACTTTTTATTTTCTGTGAAATACAGTCTTCATAACTTGGTCTTTCTTGAATAAAATAAAATATAAAAGCCTAAAGGCTGCATTTCCTGAGAAATATTTAAAAGGTAGCAAAGCTCTCTGTGGTTAGTATTTTGCTGCTCAGATTTCTTAAATATGAACGTGGGAAAATGGTTTATGGCTGTCAGTAGACCCTGAGCATCTTTGATACAAGGGGGAATGCCTTCCTTTCTTCACAGCACCTAGCAGAACAAGGAAGTTGGTTCTCATGTCCTTCCCCAGTGCCTACAAACATGGCCTGAGATACAAGGGCAGGGATCTTTATCCCATGGCTTCAGTCAGAAGGTACACGGCAGCAGAATGGAGATGGGAATGTCTCAG